ATTTATTCAGTGAAACTGTTTTGATTTGTAGCAGTTGAAGAGCTTGCTCACAACTTTCTTTGGCATCATTAATCCTTGCAATCATTTGGAAAATGTAGATAGACCACCTGAACTAAATCCCAGATGAAAGAAATTTGGAAAAAGTGTTCAAGTTGACAGGGAGCCTACCTTTATTATTGCAGTGTCCCTCAAACTGTTCAAAGAAATGCTTCATGTCAGAATTCCATTATGAACTCCAGTTTCTGGGTTTAACACCAAGGCTGTTTCAAATTGCCTGAGTGTGAAATGAAAATATACATGTCAATCCATGTGAAACTTTCTTTAATTTAAAAAAAAAAATCTTTAACTCAGTCTTTGAAGAGTGCAGGGCACTCTTTTTGTTTGCTCAAAGTGGGTTTAAAGCTTTCTTCTTGTAATGTCCTAGATCAGTAATAGTCTTCCGCTGTTAGGTAAACTAGAGAGGAAGTGAGCCCTTAATCCTTTTCAAGTCTTTGCATTCTCCTCCAGTTACTGACATTGCAAAAAAGACAAAAGGACAAAAATAACATATTTTGACAGTCCTCAGGGGGTTGATAACTGCTGTACTTTAGTGCATCATTACTGCAACATCAGAGCAGCACAGCCTGTAGTTTCAGCTGCAGAATCCTTGGTGCTTGGAGGTCTTGAAAAATGCACAGAGAGTGGTCCAGTGAGTTCCTCATCACTGAGCAGCAACTTGGAGATGATTTTGACATATGGGTACATCCAACCTGAGGCATCCAAGGATATATCTCTATAATACTGGAATCAGGGAGCAAAGCATGGTCATTGGCCCAAGTGGTGTGGAATGGCATGTGTCTATAAATGTCCTGAATAATCATCAAGAAAACTAATTAGTTCCCTGTACGTGAGCTAATGTATTCATGGTGTAGGTGATGGGTAGAGCAGGCACACTGGGTGAAACGAGTTCCTTTTGGAATACAATTCTGAATTTCTGTTGTGCAAACTGATGTCATCCTACTATAGCTGGTAGAAGCTATATGGTTTTACACAAGATAAATAGCTGCCCCAAACATTGGCATTTACTAGTATTTATTATTTATGACTATTTGTATTTATTATTTATCTCTGTAGCCAAGAGGTTCCTGTGCATTTTCCCAGAAAAGGCCACAGTGTTTGATCCCTGCCCTAAGGAACTTGCAAACTGATCTGTAATTACTAAGAAATGGCTTAGTCTGGCAATTACTAATTTTGTGCAAGAGGTTTGTGCAGTCCCTGAAGAGCTTCACAAAGGTAGGTAACAGAGATTGGAAAATGACTAATCCTGAACCATTAAGTATTTAATTCTTTAAGTGAAGTTGTGGGTGTCTGTGTTGCAAAAAGATAAAGTGATTTCTCTATACATTTGGTATTTAAATCTTTTATGGATTTTTTTTTTTTTTTCTGGCTAGGGGGTACCTTCCTCATCATTTGGAAGAGTGAAGTACACTGTGATTGCTAGTATACATGTCAGCAATACACAATTTGTCTCATTTTAAGCTTCAGAAAACAAAGTGAGAGAAGTAGAGAAATGCCTGGCCCCAGACATCTCACTGTGATGCCTTAACTAAAAAATAATGCATCTCTGCTCTTATTCCAGAGTGAAGTCTGTGACACTTAAGTTTGCAAAGATCACTTGAAATAACCATGGCATTTCCCAAATTATATTACAGTGGAAAAATATGAATAATGAAAGACTTGGTTCTTTAAACCAGCCAGAACCTTTAGCCAGAACCTTTTGAGGAAGTTCTGGCTAAAGGGACACAGAATCTGCGGTCACATCTCAGTCTTCATTAAGTCGCCTGGTTTTGATATGAGCAGATATACATGGGCTTAAAAACATTTATTTTTGCAATAGAGGGAAAATTTATATTCCCAGTCTGTTGTCTAACCCTTCAAACAAATATAGGAATATGCTAAAGCATGAGTATAAAACCATAGCAGTATAGTCAAATATGGATGGTTAAAATTTGCTATATTATGCTTTATGACAACTGATAATTACAGAATTTGTAGAGATTGGGTCTCATTGTCTTCCCACTGTTCAAACGCATAAATGTCCATTGCTACAAAAAATATCATTAGGGAAGACTAAGAAAACTAATTTATTTGGGTGTGAATGAGAACAAAGGAACATCATTCTGTGCGAGTTTAAATAATAAGGTCACACACTGTACGGTCTCTCTTTTTCTCTTCTTTCTTACTGTTTTTGTTTTTCTTTTTCACTCATATATAAATACAAAGACATGTAAAATGAGACAAGTCTTGATTACCATGGGTGGGATATTATGTGGGACAGCGTAATACAAAGACATGAATGATACTGTGACATAAAAAAAGACATCACAGATGGAAAACTTTCCAAGGAAAAAGTTAAAAGCTGACAGAGGATTTCTCCATGACAAGAACATGTAAATATAGTCAACTAGATTTTAGTAATATTGTAATTTCTAAAGTGAAAACACATGAGGTTGAACACAAGCAAGGTGGGAACTGATGACGAGGGAAACAGTAAGCAAATTACAAGAATGTCTCTTGTTTTATAACAGGAAGCTTGGGCAGTGAAGTCATGAGCAATTTACTCATCCCCTATGCAATGTATATTGATTTCTTACTTCACTTTATTTAATCTGAAAATAAATTAATGTATCTCAAATAACTGGAACAGACTAGGATCTCACTTATTACTGTTTGTCCATATAAAATTGCTGGCTTAACAAATGGATGAAGTTTTATCTCCACTCTATAAATAAGGAACTTGGGCACAGAAAGCTGAAATATGAGCTTATACTGCTGCCAAAGGTCCAAGAGAAGCTTAAGTAGTTATATTTGACCTAATTTTGGCCTAGCAGAATGCTACTTTTGTTGTGTTTACACAGCTTTTGACGGCAGCATAAACCAACCTTTTGTGATTTATGACAGAAGCTGCCCATAAAACTTCAGTCATCTAAAAATCAGACATTTATTGTAAGCTTATTATCAGTGAAGAGGGAGATGAGTATATCCCAAGTGCTAGTCAGTTCAATCTAAATCATCACAAGCTTGTACCTCAATTGAGTCACCTAACTTTGCATGCCTTAAATTAGTTGTGTTCCCTCCACTAGGAATTTAACTTATCTTTTTAAAAAGATAAGCACTTTCCTGACCAAACTGTCTTTGTTTCTGGTGGCAAGGTTTCCAACACACTGTCATTCTCCATATTATATATGCTTCAAGGTTGAATGAAATTTGGGAGAGTTGTTCTACACTGCTGCTGTGACTTCCCTGTTGCACTAACACAGTGGCCATAGCAAAAGGACTTTTCTGCCTTTGGTTCCTGTCTTCTCCCCATTAAAATGACCTCTGAGGCTTTCAGCAAGATGAAAGGAAAAGTGCTTTGTGTTCTGAGCTAAATAATGCAATAAACAACGTCTGCCCCTTGACCTCTCTGACTTCAGTACCTTGATGGCACTGCATGAATTCTAAATGTAGACAACTTCATTCCCAGCTCAGTTACAGTCTTCTCAGATGTTGAGTACAAGCAAGTATTCCAAGAATTTATTTTTATTTGAAACTGCATTTGTGAAATACCACTACTTATATAATTGTTTTCTTCCGTGGTTCAGTTCCTGTCACATGGGCACTACCAAAGTGTGTCAGGCAAAGTCAGGCTCTCTGCTGACTACCAACAGATAGACAATCAACAGATATTGGGGCACGTGCCTATACATGCTTAAAGTCAGGCTTCAGTCCCTAGATGTGTTCAAGGTCAGATTGGATGGGGATTTGAGAAGCCTGGTCTAGTGGACGGTGTGTCTGCCCACGACAAGGGGATTGGAACGAGATGACCTTTAAAGGTCCCTTCCATTCCAAACCATTCTATGATTCTATGATTATGATTCAATAAAATAAATTCCATTTTAGAACTTAATTCAGTAACTGAAAGGCACATTTTTACTTCCCTGAAGCACTTGGAATACCAGTGAAAGGGCTGGCAAGTGTCACACCTGGTGTCACTTGGAGGGTTTCTCAGTGTGCCTGAAATGTCTGTGTTGACACATATGATACAGGACATTCTGAGGTGGCAGCCAGAGGCTAGGAGAGATATTTTGAGCATCCACATCTGTATCTGGGCAATCCTAGTCCTTGTACACAGTGACATAAGGGTGTGATTCATCTGACCAAATATTTGCGTTTACTTTAAGGTAGGATGACTTATACCACGAAGAACATTGTCTTTATTGGCCAGCTCTCCTCCTAGCAAAAGGAATCCAAGAGGGACTTCCAAACTACTACACTGTAAATGCCCACATTTAGCCAGTCAAATGTACCCCATTTTAGCAATTTAAGCATCAGATTTCTAGATATAAGAAGGAATCCTCTTTGGTCAAAAGGCAGAAGCCCAAAACACAAACCCTGTGGTCAAAAAAAAGGAGGAATATATCTGTAAGTGTGGTGTTCTGAGGGCATAGGTCATTATTTTTAATTCTCGGTTCCATTTCCTTCAAATGTCAGTGGGATTTCACTGGCTCTCAAATGTGTCTAGGCATCTACTTTCCTGCATAGGCTCATAATTCCCTGCCAGTGTTGTAAGTAAATAAAAATTGTGCAGTACAGGGTTTGGTGCCTACCCACTGTTCAATCTAACAGTCTGTGGTGACCTGCTCTTTACAGAGGCTCTCCCTCTCCTTGGAAGTATTCATTCTCTTGTTTTTGCAGTTTCCTAGCAAAAGACAAAACACATTGAACAAACACAAGATTAATGGAATCCTTTCAGTGGGCTTCAACAGGAAATTGATAAGGTATGGGTAAAGGATAGATAGAGGATACCTCCTGAGAAGACTGAGTGCAGGCATTGGCATGCAGTCTCTTAACAGCAGATAAAAAGAAAAGCACTCATAGCATAGCACCATAAAAAAAGCAGAGTGATGCCTTTACATGTTTGTGTCCTGTTTCCACAAGAATTCACATGCAGAAAGACAGGAGTCTTATTGTGCACGAGTAGCAAAAGTCCAGCTTCCCTCTTCCCAGCTTCCATCCAGCAAATCGGAGCAGCCAGGCAGATGTTAACACAGGGTAGCCAGAGTCTCTGGGGTTGTGAGGATGAGAGCACAGTGTTGCAGCTGCAAAAGACCAAAACCAGGCAATCAGTGAGTGTGGAAACTGAACACATTTGCTGTATTTAAAAGTCAGTATGTTTATCCTTTAACAAAGAAATTTCATAGAATCTTAAAATCAGAGAATGGTTTGGGTTAAAAGAGATCATAAAGATCACCTAGTTCCAAAACCTCTGCCATGAGTAGGGACATCTTTCACTAGGCCAGGTTGCTCACAGTCCTATCCAACCTGGTCTTCAACACTTCCAGGGATGGGGCATCCACAGCTTCTCCGGGCAACAAATTTCATGTACTCAGTAAATTTGTGATGTAGTTACCAGAGGAAGTCAGAGAGGCACTATATGAACATGTTTTATGTGCATATTTAAATATATATTTATATTTATGTAAAATGTGTCCGCATATATATAGATACACTGTGCTCATTTTCTCAAATATCTGTTTTTCAGACAACAGTTAAGCTCCTGATTAGCAAACCTGACAACAGTTCCTTTTCCATATACTTTCTAGAGGTTGCCTCTAATCAGGATTGCATTCAAAGTAATAAACAGTAACTTTCCACTCTACTAGCTAAAACACATTTTTACACAATCTATTTTAAGCAAGTGCGCATACGTAATTCACACTTTTTTAAATAGCTTAGGATTTTGTCTAAGAAGTGTTATGCAAAGATTGCTCTGTGACAGATCATCTGTGTTTATGGTATAAATTAGTGCGACTGTTATGTTAGCCATGTAATTATACACCTTTGAAAGAGAAAATTGCGACAGATAAATCCGTGCACACCATAAAAAAAAAGTTTTAATGCCTGATACAGTTGCATATTGCTAGAAATCCAAACATTTACACTTTTTTTTTTTTAAACAAAGAACTTTTTGAAATAGAAAGCAGGGATTTACAGGGTTGGTAAAAGTTATGTCTGCTGTTACAAACATTTTAAGGTACTTACATGCTTTACTGTGAGGGTGGTGAGTCACTGGAACAGTTTGCCCAGAGAAATTGTGGATACCCCATCCCTGGAAGCGTGGAAGGCCAGACTGGATGGGACATTGAATAACCTGGTCTAGTGTAAGGTGTCCATATTCATGTCAGGGGCTTTGGAACTAAATTACCTTTAAAGTCCATTCCAACCCCAAGCATTCTGTGATTCTACGATTATTCTATAATTACATATATTTTGTCATCTGACAAATGATACTACTGTTGAGAGAAAAATGTTGATTGTATTTATTAACTTTTCCAAGACACTATGAGCCATATGCCATTACACTGAATTGTAATTTATTCTGAGAATAAGGTTGTTATTTAATTTTGACTGCTCCAATACTAAAGTAATATGGTGTGTGAGTTGCACTCTGCTGTTAGTTGATTATTTAGCTGTTACTATAGTTAGCATGACTTCTGTTCAGGCTGAGTGTATAACAGCTTTAAATCATAAAAAACTATTGAGCATTTGAAGGAGTGTCCTGCACTACCAGGGTATGATCTCAAAGAGAAAGAGGGAAAGGGAAGGGGAAGGGAAAAGGGAAAGGGATAGGGAAAGCGGAATTGGAAGGGGAAAGGAAAGAAAAGGAAGGGAAAGGGGAGGGGAGGGAGGGGAGGGGAGAGGAGAGAAAGGAAAGGAAAGGAGTTGACTAACACAGCAGTGATCTCATTTATTGTCATGAGCATTTTTACATTCCATATCTTAAGGAAACTTCAGAACGTCTTACTGCTCTATATTTTTTTTTTACCTCAAGAATAACCAGACAATAAATTATGCTCCAGGTATCATTATGCTTTTGTTCTCACTGCTGATCAGGTCTGCAGCTGAAACAACTTTGAGGCCACAATCAGTTCTGGAAACTCCTGAGTGAAGCTGTCATCTTACCAATAGCTGTGTGTTTGGCTTAGCCCCAGCAGCACTTACGGGCTGATGCGAGGATCAGTGAGGGGTTTTGTAGCAAGTGTTTGTTGACTGACTGACTCAGGTTCATTCAAGTCTTCAAGAGAAGAAAAATGCAGTTGAAACTCATGTAGATTCTCCAAGTATTTTTGCTCCTTTTACACACTAAAGCCTGTCTTTCCTTAGAAACTGTCCTTTCACTCTCCAAATCTCAAATGAGAATGACTATTTTCTCTATATTATTTTCTGTTAAATTAACCACACATTTTTTTTGTAATTTATATTATGTTCTTTATTTTCATTGAAGTATTTAATAATCAGATTTCTTTGAATTAAAAAAATTTGCATTATCGTCCGCAAATACCTTTACATCCCTCAGACTGTACCTGTGGCATCTTTAAAGTGCCTGTTGGCAGAAGGGTGTAGATGCCTTGCTATGATTTTGTGAAAATAGCACTGAAGGTGCTAAATGCTATACTGTAAAAACAAATGAAAGGAACATATAAAAGCACCCATTTGATTAACAAGCATAGTACATTTTAACGATTTTTTTCATAAAAGCCTAGTAAACTATTTCTGTTCTATGTCAAGAACTAGTAATAGGTATATTGGATATTAAGATGAGTTATGGTAGCTGGAATTATATACAACATATGCCATTAAATGTATATACATGCATTTCAAATCATGGCAAGATCTTCTGAAAATCTGAATAAGATTAGGTCACCTCTATAAAAATGAGTACAAAGTAGAGAGCTGTAAATCTAAAATAAAGATGCTACAGAGTGTTCTGTTTCCAAAAATTTCAATCATTGTAAATGATCAGTTCAACAATACATTTTTTTTTAAACATGCTTGATGAGGACTCAGCACATTTGTCACAGATGGTTTTAATGGTTCTGAAGAACAGAAAATGTAGATGACAGCATTTCAGAACTACTAGCTGCTGAGAGCAACTATGGCCTGAAGTCCAAGCTTCCAATCCTGATTCCACTGAAGCTAGTAGCAAAATTCCTCTTGACATTAGGAAAGCTGGAATTCCGAATTTAGCATGAGTTCTCCATAGAATAAAAATATATGTTGTTACATATTTCTTAGAATTATATATATTTTAGGTATAATCACTCAGAGTTCTGGAAGATTCAACTTTTTTTATTTTTCTTTGCAGCAATGGGTCTGCAAAACATTGGTTATGTTCAAAACACATTGGTTATGTTCAATGGGTGGATTTGAGGATATATTCTCTGGATACACACACTGGTTTCCCATAGGAGCGCCTTGTAGACTAATTTTAGAGGGAACCAGCTGTGTTGAGGCAGAGGGACCTAAGGTACCCTTGAAAATGATCAAGTATATATTCCCCTATGTGGGCCCTATAATACTATGCTTGACCAGTCTTATATGTCCCATTTTCTGTTACACAGACAGCATAGAGAAAAAAGAAAAGGGGACAAGTAACCAAACTCAAACACAATGATATGAACCTCTTCCATGATAACAAACAAGCACTGAAGAATGATGGCTTAATGTAAAACAGTAAACCAGCAAATCATATTACTTCATGTTACGATTAGAAGACTTTACCATATCATATGCAAAATTCACAATTTAATAATGTTATCTTAAATAATATAAGCTTTAATTAAAAATGAAATATTGTGTTCCTACTGTTTTGCTGAATATAGCCAATGCAGAAACATCTGCTGAACCTGTGACAAACCAAAACTGTAGCTCACAGAGATGTAAAGTACTCTACTTACTTTTAACAAGTTAACATCTCTAATATATGTTGATCAAGAGGTACAACCCATCTGTATTTTCTCCAGGGAGTAGGAAAATAGGGCTGCCATTGCTAAAGAAACATGATTTTTCTGAGATTGTCCTAAGGGTAGATCAAGGATAAATTGTCTCTTCTCTCAGATATTTCCCAGCTGACTTAGAGATCACACAGGAAAATTTGCACAGAGAAAAGGCATAGAGATATATGCACAGACATGAATGTTCTCATGGAAAAAAACCATGGCAGAAACTGGTACACACCTTGGTTTGTGTCTTTATTTACATTACTTGATCTTGTGTCAATGAACTGCTAATGTCAATATTCCCTTAGCATTACTTTGCAAAGTAACATTAGAAATCCCTTATTATATCCAAGGACACTACATACTTTACCTGAAGGAATAAGAGACCCTTTCACAAAACAGCTCAAAATTTTTACACCCGCTTTATAGGATATCACATAAAAAATGAAGATTTAAAAAAGGCTCATAATACTCCCAAGACATTAATTTTCTTAAGAGTTTGTTATTAATATCTGCCATTAATCAGCATATACTTTTTTGTAACACAGAGGATCAATAATCTAAAAGAATACATACTAACAGAGGTCAGTAGCGGGTCATTCTTAATTAGGTGTTGCTCATTAACTCACAGTCATGAACAGAAATACCTAATCTATGTTTTCCCCTGCTATTCTTGAATAATTCCTGCTTCTATTAACTGACTGTGATGAACTCTGCTGCTACTGAATACAACTCTGTGTTTAGATAGATGCAGCTAGGAACAAGGTTGGAAAAGTGAGAGAGGCAGAGTCAAACAGTATAATGCAGGACGAAGGCTGGAGAACATGGAGAGGAGCAAACTGGCAAGTGAGATCAGATTTGAGGATGAGGGGGAAAGACTGGGATGTGTACAGCTTTTGTCTGCGACTATCCAGGTATTTTTATTTGCTACTGAGAAAAAATACACTGAAAAATCTGTTTCATGTTGCAGAGCTGGCACTACTTAAAGCAAAGAGTGTACTGCTGGGAGGTTTTACTTGAGTTTTTTCTTTTTATTTCCCTGAAGCATTGTAAGATGTCAGGAAATTTACTGAAGACTAACAGATAAGCTTCTCTTGCAAGTGACAAGGTATTCTGCACTTTCCGTAAAGATAGCATGTAAATAGGGATACTAAGATGTCCAAGGAACTTTTTAAATTGGTAATGGTCCCACTCTTTTATCCTGTTGCTATAACAAAAAGCCATTTTGAGGTTGTTGTCTATTTCCTGAGATGTATGATGACACTTACCTAAAAAAACTCCCCCCAGAATCCCAACAAGCCACTTAATGAAATGTGAAAATTAAAAATAGAAAACAGATGTAACAGATTTTGCTATTGCCCAATAGGAAAGAGAAAAGAGGAAAGAAAAATGTCCTCTGCCTTTATAAACCAATTCACTCTAGGAGTTCCCTGATTCACCATGAATTAAAAAGCAGCTTCTGCCCATAACTGACTGTTGCAAAAACGTTGTCTGAGTTTGGGCAACACGGTCCAAAGTGTTGTTGCTATTCTGGTAGACATCTAAATAAGTACAGGAGTGTGGTGTGTCAGCCTTAAGGGGAAGGGAGTACCCAAGATTTGTAGATGCTCATGGTCAAAAAAGCGACAAAAGTCTGAGGGTCTAAGTTTTATGAATAAATTACACACTTGGCATGGAAATTTTGGTATGTTAGTCCCTGGTCTTCTGGTATAAACACATGACAGTGTGATTTGAATTAAAGGGTCAGGTGAAAGGGGAGAGAGAGAAAGAGAAAGACATGGATTATAGAGTGAGAGAGAAAAAAAAAAAAGAAAGGGAGAAAGAGAGATCACCAATCCTGGCTCCAGCATTAATCTAGTTGATGGGGTGTCCAGGCTCTCTGTGCCTGGGCTTTAAGGGGGTACCTTTTTATAGGTAAATTACCCCCTATAAAAAGGGGGTACCTTTTTATAGGTAAATTTTCCCCACTCTAGAGATAAGTTATTTGCTTTCTATGCAAATCAGTTACCATGCGCAGTCTGTTCTTCTAGACCTTGTTGGAAATGGGTCAGAAGGCTTCAAGATTCTTGATTCCCACCTACAATCCAGCCCTGCTTCTTGGCCTCATTCCTGTGCGTGCGCTGTGCTGTGTTCTGCTGATCTTCAGGAGCCAGAACAAGGACATTTGTCTCACATATGGCCCCTTCTCCAGCATATCCTATTCTTTCTCACAGCATGTTCTTTCCAGCAATCCTTGGTGGGTTCCACAGCTATGCTGTCAGTGCTTGAGACATAAACAGGACCCCCCCCCACCCCCATATTCTAGGCTTATATGGTGAGATAAAATTGTCTTCAGCTGCTTTGACTTCATGTCATTCTGTATGTTTTTGATAGAAATCACAATCTTTACTGGGGTAGGTACTTCTCTGAACAGTCATCTCCAAGTTCTGTGTGGGTCTGGCATTCATATGGTTGGTCAAAACTATAGTGCCATCAACTATGGCCATGTTCTACTTCTAGTCTGTGTATTCCTTACCTTAAATCCTAAATAAAATTCTTATAAATGTCTTCAAAGAAAGGATATCACTTGCCTTGCTTTTTCCCTTAACACTATGAATGAGGTTTTATTTCCTACTTCATCACCTAGCCTTATTTTGGAATGTTTTATAACTTACAAGGAAAAATGGGGAAATGGAATAGAAAGTCATACAAATAGATTATAAAGATCAGACACCTCAGTTTGAGAGCAAGAAAAATTAAGCACTTGATGGTTACCAGTCGAAAGTTATTCAGGGCATTACGAGCAAATATGTTAAATATATCCCTTACAAAAGCAAAAATATACATGTTTGTTTAAAAATGGGTTTTATTTGAATTTGGCTGAATATTTTTGAAGAATGCTATATAAAAAAAAGCAATTTGAAAGTAGAAGAGCCAATACGTTTGTTAAAAAAGAGAAAATGTTTTAATTTTCATTTTGGAGGTAGATTATACAGACAGGTTCATTTAGGAAGACAGCTTATCAAACTCCACAACATCTGGGCTGTGACTCATGTGGAAATGAATTGAAAAGAGAAAAAGAGAACAGAGTTTCAGGAAAAGAGATGCAGATTGGTCTTTGGGCTGCTGTATTAGGATGTTTGGTAGCTATATGCCACATCTTCAGGACAGTTATTCTCTGAAAAATAGTAGTTAAAATAAATATTCTTTAGATTTCAAGGGTGTGGAAAATGTATTCTATGGGTAGGATTCAGAAGACATGATAGCACATGAATCCAATCTGAAAAAGGTATCTTGGCTCTCAATTAGAATCAAAGAATGGCTTGGGTTGGAAGTGACCTTAAAGATCTGGTTCCATCTAGTCTAATGAAAGACTACCTATTATTAAGGACAATGCTTACAGTCCAGGTGTAGGCAGCAGAAGTTACAGGCATGGCATTCAGGTCTGCGAAACACCAGCAGTATTTTGTGCTGCTTTCCTTTGTGCTGCTATAGAACACGCGTTGCTCTGGTGCACCAGCTGTCAGTTGCTGATAGTCTGATGCTGTTTTGCATTATAGGGAGCTAAATGCTAAGTGCCATGATTTGAAATTTGCTATTGTATCTGTCCCTCAGACCTAACCCCACAAATAATGCAGTCCTCAATGTGAGCTTTTAAAAACTGAGGTCAATTAGGAAAGCTACATTTTAAGTGGATTTTTTTGTTGTTTTATTCCCAGTGAGAGGCTGTTGAAATGAAGCATATTTGCTTCCAGAGAAATCCTACTAAAGCAAAATTACAGTACTGCTCACTTTTAAATTTCACAGCAAAGTAGCACTTAAGGCTTACTGCAGTGCATTAGATTTAAAACCAATTAAGTACAATGCTAAATCAGTGTAAACCACATTTCTGAATTTATCTACAACATAATGAATAACATCTGCATCTGCAAAGAAAAGATTTACACTGAGCAGCAAAACAAAATGTGTTGACAATTTGAGCAGTTTTCGTTCCCTTATGTCATATGTCTTCATTATTTGGTAAAGCTTTACTCCAATCCTTCATTGTTAGAGCAGTAAAAGCAGAAAACATCCAAATCGCAACACATTGAGGTAGAGTCTTCCTCAGTTCATTTCCTCTTCTCAGCAGACGTACATCTTTTTTACCTCGGGAGCTTTTCCAGTCTGAAATCTATTCAGCATTTGACAAGGATCACCGTTCTTCAGGTGTGTTGGAGGATCAGGGGTTGTCTTCTGACCTCCGATGGACATTTCTAGTACTGCCCTTTCAGAAAACAGACTTCAGTAAAGCCAACCCATTCCATTTATCTTCCTAGATGATAACAGACAGAAAGTATGACAAGGGAACCAAAATGCTCCTCTACTCTTTAAGGCACCAAATACCATCTTCAACATCCCTGAGCTTCATTGCTAAGCCTGCCTGAAATTTCATGAGTGACCTTTAAGAAATAACTTAAATAGTGATCTGAACACAGTTTGCACAAAATTGTTTTTTCAGGGTTGACTGTTAAAACTTGCCTACTTCTTATTCTCCACTCTTAAAAGAAGGTAGGAATAGTAGTCTGTTTTACTTTCTTGGCTTGTAGTGTTGTTACCTCTATGTGGCTCCTTCATATTACAGACATGTACAACGCTTGAATCAAGGGAAGGGAGTTTGGTCTGAATATCTGAGCCCTGTGATGCAGGAGGAATTATTTCATGGTTATGAATGTTTTATGAATGTTCTGACAACGCTACAGACTGTCCTATTTATTGGTAGTGTACATATTGTAATACACAGCAGACCAGCAAAAGCTTCCACTGCTGCTGCCCTTCAGCTCTCTGGCAGCAACATATTTCTTTGGGTAGGAGAGCAATTTTACTGCCATTTAGTTCTTAGTGTCTGTTATGTTAGAGGGCACAGAAGGAGAGTTGTTCTTAATGTTGAGAGGTTCTGTGAGACAGAATTGTTGTCCACAGAGAGGTTACTAGTAAGAAAATATTTGTAAGGCTACCTCTGTCTTTTAAGGATTAGCCTTTTTTGTTCATAAAGCTGAGTCCCAACCTCAAAGAGGCTTTTTGTTGATATTGCCCTTATTTATTTTCCAAGTTGAGTCCTGGTCCTGTTGTTCTGGGCCTGTAATCCTCTCATGCTTCTAGAAAATACAGTGCTCTCTGGTGACAATTGAGCTGCATGAAGGTTGACCAAAATTGATGTGAAATATTGTTGCAAATCTAAAGTCCCTTCATCCTTGATATTCTTACATCTGGAATTTCTACTCTTCAGTGCTGGGATGTAGCTCAAACTCCACAGTGGGAGTTTGTGTTTTCTTGGCATGAAGTAGAAGATGTAATGTCAACAGAAGGTTCATTTAGCAGTCTATTCCTCCTGAATGGCATCCTGTACTGGAAATACATGTCCAAAGAAAAAAGTAATTATGGCACATCTGAAACCCCTGGGGGGTTTCTGAATCTGTAGGGACTAGTGGGCAGAGTGGGACAGGGGTAAAGATCAACCAAACTGTCTTACTAGGGACATTGATTCTTCCTTAGGTTTGAATGGGGAGCAGAAATTTGCTTTTTCTAGTGACTTTTCTTGAATTACACTCTGTTTTATACCTCTGGGGCTTAAGAATTGCTTCATTTACCAATATCAGGTAATTGCTACTGCAGCAATTTGGTACCACAGAAATGAGCAGCTGGAAGGTATTGATGTGTTGATAGAAGGTTGTTATTGGTGTTAAGTTTCCCTCCCTCGTTTTCATTTTTGGCCAGCCAAACTTGGTATCATGTGCCATTGTTAATGGGTATGTTACCTGAAGCTGTTAGAAAAGTCCATGCCAAGTTCATCCCAATGAATTGAGGAGTAATGTAGTTTTAATTTTAACTCCAATTATATCCAGGAAGATTAATTGTTGGGGGCAAATCCTTGTGTGGGGCCAAAAGGGAGTTATAAATCATTCAGTTAGATTATCAGATAATTTTCAAGCTCCTGTGGGTTTCAGAAAATGGACAAGAATAGCTTAAACCTGTCTCTTTCACAGAGAACTAGTAGCTTGTGATAAATTAGAATCTGTCTTTTTCCTCTCTCCAGCAATCTCCCTGGATGTGGGTGAAATGTCCACTAGTGCTAATTTAATTGCAAGTGGAACCCTCTGCTGCCTGCAAGTAATTCACATTTTTCAGTAGCAGATAATGGCAATAGTGAAAGTGTCTCCTTGCTATCAGGTCATTTTATTTTTAAGTCAATGACAATGGAACTATTACATACCAGCTGATGGGAGCTTAATTTGTTTAAGTATAGAAGAGGATTTATTAGCAGTCATATGTTAGTACTACTATGGCCCTCTACTCATAGCTCTTACATATGCATTAGACAATTTCATCTAATCTAAGCAAACGTAAACTAATCTAGCTAGATGCATAAGTATGGACTTCATTTTCCTTTCATGGAGATAAGTGTTAATTAGAAGACACTTACCAGACCTAGAGCTGAGTAACTTAGCAGAGAATCAGATCTCATATCTTTTGTCTAATCTGAATACTGCATGAATATGATCATGATTCTAGGCATAATTAGGGTCACGAAACATGACTAATTGCATCCATGAAAGTGAACTCTCCCCCTTAGCAAGGCGTGCATCTGTGTCAGCTGTTAAACAGCACTGCTGGAGAGCATCTGTGAATCAGCCCCTCTCTATTACTGCATAAACACTCTTATTTTAACTCGCTTAAATAAATACGAACCAGAAAGAATCCAGGAAAACCTAGAAAAGTTGAGTTGGGGCTGCAATCTGTCCCTCCCAGTCCTTCTGGGCTACTTCTCCCTCCTCTCCATCTGTCTACTCCAGCGTGGGCCCTTCCCTGGGCTGCAGCTCTTCAAGGACAACGTGCTCCAGTTGGGACCAGATGTGTCTGGTACTCGAAACAGGTTCCTCTAACCTTTCTTGAGGTTTTGATGTTTCGCTTTTTTTTCCTTCTGTTTTTGTTTGTTTGTTTTGGTTTGGTTTGTTTTTTTATGAAAATGGTAAAAGATAAGTAGGAAAATAGAGATCTGGGAGCACAGAAAGCTCTTGAAAACATTCCCACTGTCTGGATCACCAGAATCGCAGATTTGAAAGGAACTTCTGGACACGAGAACAGTTTTAAACAAGACATAGAGGTGCTGAAAAAGGTACTGACTACTCCAGAGAGGAGTGGAACCACGTGTTTT